TTATTGTAGTTGACATTTGGGTTAACTATTTGTAAATTGCGAATAAACTTTGGTACCTAAATTGGAGTTTGGTTCTGTTGTTAACTAGGGTTCGTGAATTGCAAATAGATCGATATACCATACTTCAATAACGGGAACGAGCAAAATATTGGACGTAACAAGTAGTTTTCAATGATTCACCTCAGTACAGTAGAATTATCTTATTGAAGATTCTGACTTTGATGCTAGTTGACAGTTGTTTTGAGTCCTATTTATTCTTCAACTATAGGGATGCTGGCCTTACTTTGCCGATCCGTGCATTTGAACCATTATTTCATCTGCAAAACGAAACACCGTTATATACAATACATTTTAAATGCTTCTATTATGAGACATTCGTCGTACAGTCTCAAGTACCTTATGTGCGTCTTACTACCCCTTAAAACTTGGGCATTAAACCTTTATCTTCGTTGATAATTGTTCTGATATAAAAACATGTAAGCTATAGTTATACTTCATTAGTCCTTTCAATATCCGCATAACAAATTGTAGAATAAACTTGGTAGAATACTATTGAACATAAAAAATAATAAAACAGGAGTTGTTTATTTGACAGTTCTTCCTCCGAATTTGATTTACATATTCTGAAATTTATATTGAGATTAACGCCTAAACGATAATTTGAACTGTCAGTTTCCGTCAGTTTCCACATAGTATATTTCGATTTACAAGCAGCTGGTAATTATGGTCTTACGTAAAGACGTTGTCTACATTTTAAAATAAAAGATCATGTAGAATCCAGAGGTTGTTCACAATAAATCAATTGGATAATCTATGTTACTGAAACAAACTATTATAGCATTGTTATTATTCTTTTTAAGTGCAATAACTTTGTACCGCACAGAATTTAAGTCACAATTTTGGGTTTTTGATTCTGATGCCCATAAACAGGAAAATTAATTGTATTTCGCAAGAAGTGTTGTCACACATCCTTGTTCATCGATGATCCTGAACAGGTACGTGAAAGTTACCACATCTTCCAGAGCTTCTCCATCAAGTAATATTGGGTCAGAGTTCTCCGTGTTGTATTCGAGGATCTTGTTTTGTCCTTTGTGTGTATTGAGGCCTACTGGTAGAAAGGCTTCTGATACACTGGTTGTCTTGACCTGCATTTGTTTTTGTGTACGAGATAGGAGGGCCAAATCTTCTGCGAAGTTCAAATCGTCCGGTTGCATGCAATCTGTCTGTTGTATTCCGTGATTCTTCTAAGATGCAAAGGTCTTTACCATCCAATCAACCATCAGATGTAATAAAAAGCACGAGAGAGAACTCCTTGTTTGACTCCGATCCTCAATAGGATGAGTCTGTCAGCTGTCCTCCATGCAGTGTAGTCTGTCGTGTGAATGCCGGATGATGTTGACGATTTTCTCGGGTACACCATAGTGTCTAAGAAGGTTCTGTAAGCTTCTCCTATCCACAATGTCAAATCGATATGATGTGTAGTAATGAGTTCCATTCAACTGATTGATCAACGATGATTTGTGGTGTTCCGATTTCGTCTGTGTAATGAAAATCGTTTACTACCGTACTTCACGAATGATTAAGAAACATATACAAGTGCATTGCCATAAGAAAGTACTGTGACACCGCCAGAAATAGTGATTAATTTGACGTGAATAGCATAACTGTCGACTAAAATGTCGTCGTTAATTATGAAGAATGTAATTGTATGAAGAGAATTCCCTTCCTCACGGGATTTGAACAGTCGAAGTATGGCTAAGGTTGGGTCTTTCTAACTTGGAGCCTTATTATCTGTAATCAAAAGGCACTTGCTTCTAAATGAATCATTTAGGAAGTACGTTTGGGATGCTTAAAAGTGCACGCAAGTCATGATATTTGTTTTAGCAATGCACCAATTTCCTCAAATTGCTCCCAACAGTTTTGAAAGTATTTTTCCTTCTATTAGCGATATAAGTGACACAGTGGAGTTTCGGAGCGGTGGAGTCAAGGCAATGCGTCAAATAGATGAATAAATCGGAAAGTTCAGTATCAGTGTTAATTATGGTGAAGCATGATTCCCATGGTAAACATCGAGTAAGATATTCACTATGCTTCCATGTTTTTCGATTATACTGCCCATCCTAGAACTCCATTGCAGCTAAAGAGTCTGACAATATAGCAACCACTCATAAGAATTTACTAACTGCATTACAACTGGGTCGGATTTCGTTGTAAATATTGAGTCGTGTATATTATTTCTACCAATACGCTTTCACACCTGTCAGACAAATCGAAAAAGTTCTGTTGTTTCGCCAACTTGTTATATTGTCTCGGTACCGAAGCCGAATAGCATGTAACGCAGGGCTGACCAAAATGTATGTCCGATGATCCTAAACGTATGTGGTTGGTGGGAAACAATAAAAAGTGTTAACAACTTGTCCCAGTTAGTATCTAAATGGGGTGGGCGATTCATCCATCCTACCAGGACGCATGTTTGCGATCCAAAATTTATGATGACCAAGTTGGAATCATGGTAATCTCATGAATCTGGATCATCAAAGCATCCCCAAAACGAAGAAGAAGGGAATTACAATGAACGTTACCCAGTGCTACGTCGGGCTCACCAATGTAGAATTATGGTCTACTATTATATTAGTACTGCTCTAATAATAGACCTAATCCTAAATTTGTAGATTTGTCATGATATAACTGCCTAATCTATAAGATCTTACGTGGAAGTCACACCATCGACTACACCAACTTATTGTATCGTATCAATTACCAATACATGATGTAGAACAAGGTTAAGCTAGAGAAGGAACAATATATTTAATATGAATAGAAGATATAAGGTAACATTCAGATGGACCACGCCTGCATGGTCGAGCCATGCTATCCGATCAACTCCAGTCCATTCAATTCATTGTTTGCGCCTTCTCCATCGTTAAGTATTTCTCCGCGTTAAATATTGAATGTCTATTTTCCGAGTAGTCTTGTGTTCACCTTTGAAGATAGTGTGGTTATGGTCTAATGCGACTACACACACCAATGATAACAACGACGACAAAGACCAGTTCTACGAAAGGCTGCAATAGATCATAGCGAAGTGCCCAGGAAATGACCTGACCATACTGATGGAAGACCTAGACACCCAAGTCCGCGTGGCTAACATTGGGTATGGAGATATCATGGGACGAAATGGACTGGGAGGGAGCAACGAGAATGGTGAGAGATTTGCAAATTTATGTGGAGTCAACAAGATGGTTATAGGTGGCAATATTTCCCCTCAAAAACACATTCACAAAGCTGCATGGGACTCACCGGATCACATTACAGAGAATCAGATCAATGATATTTACATCACTTAAGAATTAAGAACGTCGATGGACGACCTGAGGACCAGGAGAGGAGCTGGCATAGCTTCAGATTATCACCTGGTTGTGGTCAAGATGAAACCTATGTTAAAGAAATACTAGATAACTAGGAGAACAGCATTACAAAGGTTTAATGTAATCTTCTTTCGAGGTACTAACAAACTCAACGAATTCCAGATAGCTCTCAACAACAGGTTCCAAGCTTACTGGATCTACTAAAAGAAAAAAGCTACTGTAGAGGACAACTGAAAAGGGACCAAAGCAGCACTAACTTCAAAGCGTCACGGGTCGCAAGAAGTATCATCATAAGGAAATTATCTCCTAGAAACCTTGGACAAAATTCAAGAAAGTAAGAACTAGTATACAACAATTAACAACAGCCGAACAAGTGCGCAGAAAGTCTAAGCACAAGATGAATACACAGAGGCAAATAAGCAAGTGAAGAGGGACATTAGGGCTGACAAGCGAAAATTCATGGAACACCTACCAACGAAAGCGAAAAAAGCTGTAAGAGAAGGAAATACAAAACAACTCTATGACAACGAGGGAACTGGTAGGGAAATAAAGTGAACTAGAGAAACCGGTCAAGGACAAATGTAAGACAATCGTCGAGATTCAAGAACAGAAGAATAGATGGGTAAAACACGGAAGAACTCTTGAATAGACCAGACTCACTGAACCCACCGAACAGCGAAGCAGCACATGCAGACTTTTCTATAGATGTCACTCCACAGTAAATCGAAGAAACCAATATGAATGTCAGACAAATCAACAGATGGAAAGCAGAAGGACCTGATAACACACTAGCTGAAGCATGAAGTCACACATAGAGGTAACTACAAACATGCTCCTCATGCTATTCAGGAAGATTCGAAAGGAGGAGGAACAAGTGACGACAGACTGGAGAGGAAAATACCCCATCAATATATCAAGGAAAAGAAATCTCGGCACATGTGTGAACTCCAGAGGCATCACACTACTATCAGTATCAGGAAATGTTTGAGAAACAGTGTCGCTGAACCGGATGAAAGATTCAGTATACGATTAGCCTTGAAATGCATACACGGTGAATATTAATGAGCTGTCTGTTGTCCGAACGCACATTGTTTTAGGAGCCGTCGTTAGTTCAAACCTATAAACTACTGCATACTGCATTGCAATAGCCGCCAAAGTTTTCAGAACACTTTGGTCAATACGTAGAGCCTTGAGTCATGTAGGCGCTTTAACTTTTTTTGAATTTGTATACATTGTTCGTGTGTCCTAAACTTGAGTACTGCATACAAGTGTCTAGCTTCTGTCTAAAAGGAAAAAGTGAGCTGTTGAAAAATATTCAGAAAACTGCAACTAAACTGATTCCCGGAATATCAAAGCTCTCGTATGCTGCTCGACTGACTTAATCTATTTCCATTATCATATAGGAGGATCAAATGTGACTTGATCATGGCTTTCAAATTACTTGATGATAAATTCGCATCTGATATGCCCTCACTTTTCTTTCATATGCTCAAGACTACAGGTAGATACTACAATGAATTATTTCCACGAAGTGCTGTGTTAATATAGAGAAAGTCTCTTCTGAACAGGCCTCAACAGGTTTAGATTTAGAATTATTCAGTGGTGAAGTGAATATTTACCGGCGCGCGTCTTGACTGTAGGTCGTTTGACGCGTTCAAGAGCTTTCGCTCACTTCAGGTTTGGTTTGTCAGGTTTCCTAAACTTCAAGTTTGTGATATCATTAGCGTTTGTCTTTTGGGTTCGCTATTGAACGTAGGTCTGTCACATGCTTTTATGGGGTTGTCGGTTATTTCCTTGTCATGTAATTCCTTATCTACGATCTCCACACGTGGTACCGTTTGTACACAGCACATAGTGCGCTTACTCTATCAAGAAAGTGTGTCGTTTCGAGCTACAGACCATCTGCTTTGTGTTCTTATCTCGTTGAAGGGTATGTTCATAGGGCAATGGCAACCGCGTAATGAAGATGGACATCACAATAGGTTGTCAAGCCTATGATGCAACGGTAGTGAGTCACATTAGGCTCAGCAGCCTCCTAAAGTATGATGGGTTTGTTCATTAGGCTGAGGTCGTAGTAACGTACGTTAATTTCTAACCGCAACCTCGTTGATACGCAAACTCTGTGGTAGTCCGTTATAGATGGGACGGCATATGCCTCTTCAGTAGGGCTCGCTTGTCCTTATTGTCCATCTGACTTCGAGCAATGGCGAGACTCTAATTTGGCGAAGACCTTTGAACGAGTCTTAAATGACCTTGACAATTATTAGCCAATCAGGAGACAGTATAAAGCGAGAATATATTGTAAGTAATGAATTACAGTGGATATTCTTCTTTTACATGATTTAAAAACTTGTTAAGGTTTGATAAAGGTTCAGAGGCTCTGAATTCATTATGCATGTGGGTTGTAGCCTAGGGTTAGGGTCTCGCTGATCAATCGTGTAATTTGTATAATGTTAAGGCTGGGGAGTCAGAGTCGTACAATACTCATATTAATCTTACTGTCTGGATTTAACACACCCTATTCTGAAATTAACTGATCATAAACACCTGACATACCATTTTTACAGACTCTTGAGTGTCAGTTGTCTGAATGGACTTTGGCTTATGACGGCTTCTGTTTGGTGTCTAGTAGATTACGCTATTGGTCACTAGGTTGCCCCTTTCATTTGCTGTAGATCACATAAGATGGGTTTTCGTCTACAGATAGTATTGTTGGTGATCTTGCTCACTATTAACTTTTGCTGGTTTCATTATCACTAAATGAGTATTTTGCGTTCAATGAATCCACTTGGATTAGTTCTTGTTATGCCCTGGTACGGCCGAGAGTGGGGAGAGTCCGCTATCCCTCTCAAAATGCTCACATGGCTACGCGTATATAGCCTCTGCCAAGGAAATCCTACTCACTGCCTTCTCGTGGCGAGGGTGTTGTTTACGAAAATGAGAGGACGAAAAGCGAATGTCCGGCGCTTTAACCGGATTCCAAACCAATGGTGCACATGGGCTCCAGTATCCTGCGAGAACAAATGGCGTATGAACCAATCGTTGGTCACCGGCTTCCATGGGACTGTATCTCCATACGATTCTCCACTGCCTTTTTGATCAGACCTTCAGGTCGAGGGCTCCGGGTGTGGCCCCCTAAGAAAATCACCTACTGCGGTTTGGACACCCGGGCAGTATCATAGCCCTCACATATATCGAATGAAATTTGTGTTGCGCATATGTATTTGGTGTCTTCTTGTACCAATATCTATGTGTTGAAATAAAATAAAAATAAATAAGTTCTTATTATCTTTCATATCATGCTAGCTTGATAGAGGGCGACCAGCAGCTTTTATCTATTGTGTTAACAGCTGCATACCAATTGGTTAAAGGTGTTTTCTCCAAAAATAGCTATCAGCGTTTGTTATTCTAGAATCCTACTCCGTAGATCGATCACTGACTACTTATTATCTTGTATTCATATGGTTATTTAAAATATGCTTATTAAGTTTTAGAACTACGCTTTTCATTTTCTCAGACTCCTTGTTACGCTATTTGACCTGGCGAACTGGAATCTCACACAAGATTATTCCTTCACTTCTCTACCAAACAAAACCCGTTAGCCTATTGATACAGTTCTTTCAACATGTTTTTGAGGCCAGAGAGTTTAGGTCTACTTTTCGTGATACTCAATATCTCATGGTCGGTAGATCGTGCTAATTTTAAAACATGTGACCAGAGCTCGTAAGTTAAATGATTTTATAGTTTACTCATATTACAGGTTCTGTACTCGACAACGACAAATAAAACCCGGGGGACTTGCGCACAGGTTAGAACCAAGTTCTGTCAAGATAAGCCCACATGGAATAACTGCAGTTATTTACACTGAAGATCAAAACCATCATCTGTCGCTGGATGTTACCTATAATCAACACTCCATCTTCCGTGTACTCATTGATGAATTGACAGATGAGTATAAAAGGTATCGCGTGCCTACAGGAGACGTTTTGCCAGGCGTTGAAAAGGCCCCTATCAAGTGTAAATTTGCTGAGAATAGTTTAGTGTTGGATGGACAGTCTGGATACAAGGCAGTCGTGTATTATAACCCTTTTCATATCGATTTTTTCCTGAATGACATTGTTGTAGCATCAGCAAATAAGAGAAGTCTTTTAAATTTTGAACATCAGAGGAAAAAGCCGATTATCGATAAAAATAAGGTATCTCAAAATGACAACCATACATTACCAAGTGAAAATCATGAGGTTGATATTTCTACTGTAAATAGTTCCGAAGATTCTTCAGGAAATACAGATGTACCAAAAGACTCTACTACCGATGAAGACAAAGAAGATGAAAAACAAGATCATATAGATACAGAGCACACAGTTCCGGAAGATCAGTCATGGTCAGAATATTTCAAGGAACATCTTGACACAAGACCTCACGGCTTAAACTCTATCTCGATGGATTTCGACTTTCAGGGGTTCAGCCACGTCTATGGGATCCCAGAACATGCTGATGGATTCGTTTTGAAAACTACAAGTGATGGCGACCCCTACAGACTTTATAATCTTGATGTATTCGAATATGAGGTCCATAATAAAATGGCCTTATATGGCTCTGTCCCTGTTATGTGGGGACACAATCAAAACATTACTGTGGGTGTCTTGTGGCTGAATCCGTCGGAGACATGGATCGACATTGATCATTCGAACTCACAAAATAGCGGAATATTTTCAGGTTTCTTTTCGAAGAAACCAGAGAAATCTTCAGTACAAACGAGATGGATATCTGAGTCCGGCTTAGTAGATTTATATGTGTTTATGGGTAGTACTCCATCTGAAGCAATGCGTTCTTATGCTAGTGTGGTAGGTACTACCAAGTTACCACCCCTGTTTGCGATTGGTTATCATCAGTGTAGATGGAACTATAATGATGAGGCTGATTTACTTTCTGTGGACAAACATTTTGATGAATATGAAATGCCTGTTGATGTTTTGTGGTTAGACATTGAACACACTGATGGAAAACGTTATTTTACTTGGGATAGAACTAAATTTCCAAATCCAAAAGAAATGGTTGATAAACTGAATGTTAAAGGTCGAAAGCTCGTTACGGTTGTTGATCCTCACATTAAGCGTGACTCGAATTGGCCTTTATTCAGGTAATTTTCCCACATTTTAACATTTGATGAAAGTTGTTTATGTATGGTTCCTTTAAACACAGTGTTCTGTGGGTAAACTTCCCCATTACGATGAAGATTTTACTTAATCTTTGACATAATTGCCTGCTCACCAAATAGGTGATAAAAATTGTCAAATCTGAGGTGTGTAGTTATGTCGAAACAATTACATCCAAGACTTGCAGATAGTAAAGAAGGTTTTGGTCCTATTACGAAGACTTTGTTAATGTCTATCTGAAACGTTTGTAAACTTCATGGTGTCTGTGATAGCCCTCTCGATACTGCATATGTAAAACCTACTTTATAATGTATCAAACATTTTCTAAGATATTGATATCTGGGACAATACTGACTAGTTTATTTTCAGTTTCTCGTCTTGATTCTATGTTAATTAACTTTGTTAAACAGTCCTACAATTTATTTTTATTCATATACTTGACTCGGGGTTTTGGAGGCATGTTTAGTAGTCAAACTGTCATACATTATTGTTAGATGATATTGAAGTGGTTCCACAAAAGTTATTGAGCATAGACGAAGTTTCTCAAGAATCTAAGTTATCCTTCTCTCAAAGAGGGGTAATAATAAGTGAATGGTTTTAAGGTAAAGAAACCTGTAAGTATAGTTGTTAGTCACATTTTGGACACGGATGTTGGTGCAAATGATAAATTAAAAAGAGACTGTCACTAAGTACTCAGTCGTTCAGTGTACAGCATTACTGTCATCTGATATTATTATTATTATTATTATTATTATTATTATTATTATTATTATTATTATTATTATTATTATTATGTGATTATATTCAGAAACTAAATCAACCCATTTTCTCAAACCGTTTTCATAGATGAAGTTACCAGTAAATTATCTGGCATTAAAGTGAATTTATTCATCAGTGTTAAACATTTCTTAGTATTGTGAACATAAACGCATCATTCTGACTAATAAATTTATACTTAATGGAAACCTCTTTTTTAATCTTTTCTCAGTAATTCCCAAAATAATGGGATTTTCGTCAAAACTAGAGATGGGACCGAATTTGATGGTTGGTGTTGGCCTGGATCTAGTGCGTGGCCTGATTTCACTGATAAATCTGTTCAGCAGTGGTGGTCAAATCTATTCCTTACTTATGAACCTGTTTGCAAAGATTCCATGTTTACCTGGAATGATATGGGTGAACCATCAGTTTTTAATGGTCCTGAAGTCACTATGCATAAAGTAAGCAGGCCACTAAAGTTTGTGGACTATTGTCTTTGACCTTGGCTACGACTTGCACAAACCGGGATATGTGTTGTAAATATTTTCCTGGTCTCTTTAATACTGTTCTTACTTCGTATAATGTAAGGTATCTATATGGGTCATTGTTTAGACATGGGCTAGAGTCTCTGTCTGAATAAACTGGACTTATAATTGAAATCAAGTATCACTTTGAACTAGGTTTAAACCTTAGCTTTCAATATTTTCCGGAATTAAGATGACATAATGGTTTCATAACTAGCTGAATTGTGCAAAACTATGAACTGATGGTGCTCCAGTATTCGAATCAGGACATTGCTGTATTCATCTTTTGAAACGTCCCACATGATTTATGTGAAAATAATTTAGGTATATCTTATCGTTTAATTGACTGACTACCACCATACTACAGAACATGTCAAAGACTGACTCCTGAGGAGTAGGTTGGCTTTCGTTCAGGTTGTGGATGTATAGATCATATATTAACTCGCCACCAAATGCTTGAACACTTAAGTCCACAGTACTTGGACAAGACTGGTAGGAGCCAGTACCTGCACTCACTTTTTGTGGGGTGCCGTTGCACGTAGTTGAAGAGTTCGTGTATTTCTGTTGTTTTTTAAGTGCATGTGGTTGCTCTGTAGATGAGATCAATCTATATATAGTAAAAACCAAAACAGCGTGTGACTATTTGGGTCATCTTTGGTGCCCTTCTGATGTCAGTTTGGCTGTTAAAGTTAGGGTTTACAACGCTTTATTGAGAGCAGTCTTGGTCTATACCTGTGAAACCTAACCCGCTCATCCTAAATTTAATAATTTTCGCAAATTAACAATGGAATTTCCACAAAAGATGAATTCGTGTTATTTTCAAGTTTTCCATCATTGATTGCTGTTGGTGAATTATTTGACTTGAATTCACCATCAAACGTTGTCAGTCAATAGGCTCTATCAAATGTTTTTGTCATCTTAAGTGGCGTAACACAAATGTGCACTTTGCTTAAAGATCTTTATCAGAGAACCTTATAGGATCAAGTAGTGTCCATTAGTTCTTTGATAATTGATGTCACCGTTTTTCCGAGTGCGCTTTCATACACTCAGCCTTAAGCTGCAGTTTGTATGAAAGTTGACTGTTGAGACCAAAGCTGCAACCAACTATATAATAATTGGAAGTCAGGTGCTTTGACCACTAAGCCACTGCTCTGTTGAAGATGTCTGCCTTCCACATTTTAACATAATTCTGTGAATATCCTCCTATGGGTAACTTTTGCCTGATTTCTCAGGTATTGATTTACCTAAAGAGTTTCAACGATGTGATGTACACAGAATGTATGCATTTGTCTGCTGATAGCTTATAAGAGTGATGTACTTTTAAACGTCTCAAGTGACGTTGCGATACTGTACAAGCTATGTTTCTTTCTCTTGGAATTTAATGTTCCTAAGATGGTTTGTGTTATCATGTATCTTGACAGCAGGAGACTAATAAGTTGACCCTGTCTACCACTTATTTAAGTTTCATCAGTCATGATGGTTTGGGTGTCGACAAGATTTAATTAGGGGTTTTTGAAACTTTCTATAACTTAGAAATTATAATAGTGAATAAAATGTCTACTTTACTGTTATTTATTTACTATTTATTTGAACACAAACATTGGTACAAGGGCGCACCAAATACATATGCACTACTCAATAAGAATGAGGCCAATAGTAGTTGTCATTGATTTGTGTGAGTGATTGGATACTGTCCGAGCGCCCAAACCGAAGCAAGTGACTTTCTTAGGGGGCCACACTCAGAGCCTTTGACCTAAAGGTCTAACACACAAATCAGTGGGGCAGTGTTAGGAGATACAGTTCCGTGGTAGCTGGTGACCAACAATAGGTTTATACACCACTTGTTCCCCCACGATCCAGGAGCCCATGTTCACCACTGGTTTTAAATCAGAGTTTTCCAACTCTCCTAGGTAAAACCTCCGTGTCCACCAACCCGGTTAAAGCGCCGGACATTTGCTTTTCACCCTCTTAATCTCGTGAAAACACCCCCACGGCGAGAAGGCAGTGAGTAGGACTTCTCTGACAGTGGCTGTATGCTCGTGGCCATGTGAGAGTATTTCGAAAGGGAGAGTGGACTCTCCCCACCCTTGACTTTACCAGGGCATTTGGGGGCTTTGCTATTTTAAATTCTGATTTCTTCCGTATTAAGAGTACAAGGGACGGCTTAGAAAACATCGGTAGGTTGATGCCATTCAATCGTCAGTATCTTTAAAACGTTGCCTCGCCATAATAGAACTACTGAGTGAACAATATTGATGTTATATGTAGATTATTAGGTAGAAGTGGTTGATTAAACTACTAGCCCTCACCAAAATGAGGTGTATGAAAGATTCTAGTGCACACTTGCTGATCACTATAGGAGCTGGTTGAAAAAGCCTAAAGATTGTCAAATTATGATCTGACCTCAATCGATAAAGCTAATAATCCTTAGTCTCAGTAGCGTTATCAAGGGAAAGTCTTGTGTTAGTTGAAATATTAGTATTTTGCAATCCAAATTCTGAGATATTGGCTCAAGATCTGTCACAGTAGTATAAGTCTTTTGATTACTCGTCTCCCACTAAGTTTTAAACATATCAATGTTCTCAACGTTTTATCTCTCGATTTTATTCACTCCTTTAAAAATACTAATGTTCAATTCCCCACAACTTTTGATATTATTTTCACCCTCTTCAATTTTATATGATCTTGATGTGGAATGTAGTGACTAAGAGTTTTAGTGGAGGCCCGTAGTTTGGTTTTGTCATCATTTAGATCGACGATATTCGTTGAAGGGCTCACCATTTTAGTGGCCCATGGACCTGACTCCAGGATCGTACGAATGTTTGCTATCGCCTATTCTCGTATACAATCGTCGACTTAAATCAAGTTATCCAATAACGGAATTAAATAAGTCGAATAACGAGAACTGACTTGTGAATACATATATTTCGTATATGAAGCGAATGAAACAGCAAAGCAGAATGACACGCAGGGAAGATGGCTGGGAAGCCAACTCCATTTTAGTCGAGCGTTACTCAATATTTATAGTCAGACAAAATAAACTACAGACATGTGATGAGTCATGGGATATGAAGTGTGCACACAGATACGCTCATATAAAAACAGCCAAGACTGATAAGCGAATAATTGACAAGGTCAAAATATGACTCAAGTAGGATGAATAGAATGGAATGTCCGAAAGCTAGAATAAGATACATGGGCTTAATATAATAACTGACACTACAGAGTGATAAATACGTGTCAGGTCTCGCGTTATTTGTGTTTTCTTATTAAACAACTTGTAATCCTAAGACAGACAACTTTAGAATAGCCACTAAATAACGTCTACATTAAAAATCTACTAAACAGTCGGTTGAAATGCGAACTAATTATCAGTTTCATTTTGTAAAGTCGAATATCTCCGTATTTACCTGTTTGCTAATTTTCCTTGTTACATGTTTCCATTTTTGCTTGAAGGATGCTAAGCATGCAGGTAATTGGGAGCATCGTGATATACATAACTTATATGGGTTATACGTACATAAGTCAACTTGGGATGGACTCATGTTGAGGTCGAACGGCGTAGAACGTCCTTTTGTGTTGACCCGTGCGTTTTTTGTTGGTTCACAACAGACAGCAGCTGTTTGGACTGGAGACAATACTGCTGATTGGTCACACTTAAAGGTAATTTCTTGATCTTAAGATTTATTTTCATTGATGAAAGAGTTCGTTAACGGTGTGGATCATACCTAGTAAATAATTATGATAAATTTGTGCTTGATTTAGTTTCATTCATTGTCCCGTGTAATTATAATAACCACGGTTTTCAGAGCAACCATTAAAAGTTGTTTTCTTATCTAGGATTATGGTCATTCAATAAAGGATGTATTGATACGGTTTACGAAACTAGTCATAAAACATAAAAGGAAACGGTTATTTTGTACACATTTTTCAGACATTTACATCTAAATTTTCACCTTAGGTTGACATTTAGTTAAAATAGCATCTATTAACAAAATGGCTTTCGGACCATACAATTCCGAGTGAAATCTCTGTGTTTGTACGTGCGCATTACCCTGTGAACAATTCAGATCTGAGGAGCATATAAGTTGCAGTTCCTTCTGCATTAAGACCTTAGATAGTAAGTCAAAATATTTGACGTTTTTTTATGAAGTTTCCATAACTCTTAGTCCTTAAGGTGAAGACTGATCGGACAACTAATTGTGGTCAATATATATATATATATATATATATATATATGTTCTCAGGGTTTGTGTTACGTATGACTGACTGATTGAATTGGTTTTAGTAAGTTGAAATACAATTCAAATCACAACCAGTCTTTTGTCTTGGACCATTTTGTTGTGTTTAAAGGATACTAATAATGGTTTTAGCATTAAAACTCATCATTTGCGATGAATATTATTACTTTCTGGATATAGCTACCGACATTTTATTACAATAATTCCTGAGACATGTTATCAGTTGTTACTTGTTTTAGAGACTATAGATTATGTATTACGCACTTGGTTACTATGCATGGTATTTTTCGCTACTCTAGATTTCAACTTCTATGCTTCTCAGCATATCAGTCGTAGGGATAACCCTATGTGGAGCTGACGTGGGAGGTTTTTTTGGCAATCCAGATTCTGAGTTATTGACAAGATGGTATCAGGCGGCTGCTTATCAACCATTCTTCAGAGCTCATGCACACATAGATAGCAAACGCCGTGAACCTTGGCTAGTGGCTTCGGAATATATTGATCCCATTCGGTAAGTGCAATATTCCTCCTGGTTTAATACAATGACTTCTTTGTACGAAGAATATGAGACGTGCTTTGTGTGGAAATGATAACATTGATCAGCCTTCCAGACTAAAGTAGTTGGTGTAGATTTTAAATTTATCGAAACCATTCACTTGCACTTTCATCATTGTATTTAGTGGTAGTAAGTTAATTCTGGTTAAAAACGTGGTTAGTTTCCCATGTCTTTTAAGAACACAAAAACAGAAATCCAGCTAACAGGTCAAAGTGTACCAATGAACCGGGAAAAACACAAGAGAAAAAAACGGTATCCTAAACGAATAGTTAGTTGTTCGGGATATATATCAAAAAGTGTTTAACCCACTCCATTCAACTGTATTTCATACCATCTGAAATCCTATATCTTCTGGCTCATATACCCAAACGACCTCATCGCTTTTCTGATGTGCTCACCTTAACTGATTCATCCTGTTAACCGATAATACATATCTAAGGTTTAATTGACGCAAAGTTGAGATACTGTAAGTTTTTGCATATAGTTCAAGATTTCTAGAGATAATACATGACATTATGAAAGATTGCGCAAATTGTAATTAGTAAGTTTCATGGTTTTTGCAACTGAACTTAGATTTTTCTAGACCATTGAGTACTCAAAAGAAACTTGCTGTCATGTTTCAATACGTTCGTCGCTATACCCCCCCCCCATGTTATATCCGAGCGAAGATTAAATCACGAGTAACTTCTGAGACATATTAATTGACTAAGATTATCTATACATTCTCATGGTATAGTCATTCAATAATTAGATTATGTATATTTATATTCCTCTTATTATAAGCTTCATTTTGACCTATAATTTATTATTATACGATTTACTGTCCCTAAATTATGCTCAGTTTATTAACTACTGTCTCCCACGTTCACAGTCACTTTTTGGCTTTATTGTGTACAAATGTTATTTCATATTTTATGGTGCGTTGCGATCTGTTTGATTGATATATAAACCCAGTATGTCTGAAATAAATGATTTGATTCTCATATTGGAAGCTGGTATTGTTGTTCTGGACTCAAGTGGGCGGGCTAGGCGGACATAAGATCAATAAGGACGCTAGACTGCCCGTACCGGTTGAACGTCATTGATTTGGCACAGTGCTAAGATTGTGTAAGTCGTATTTTGATTAGTGGATAAATCACGTGATAAAGGCCGGACATAAAGTCACAACACCCCACCTTTAAACTGTCATCAATTTTCTACCGTTCACTTTGCACAGAAACTGTTATCGCTTAGTGAGATCATCTTAAGAATTAAGTATTCTGCAGTTTCCATCGAACAGATTAGCTTAATCTCCTGACTGTTGACTAAGGTACGATCACGAAATGGGGTTCATTTAATTGGAAACTAGCATGTCTTAATTGATTCTGTTTAGGTAAATTAAAACCACTAGTGTACTTTGTTATTATCACACCAAGGTTTTAGTGTGGTATAAATGTCTTTTAGTTCAAAGGTCTAACCATTTACCTCGATAGTATTGTTTTCATGATATTATCTATTATAAGCTGATTAGGGTAAACAATCCAGCTTTTACATTCTTGGACAGCGTAGCGCACAGACGTAATTTATTTAGTATAAATAATTAAAACAAAGTGGAGAGAATTCATTGAGCTTCTTAATGCTTTCTTCCAGTGTAAATATGTGTAACGAGACTCTTCCGGCGACTTATTTCACAGTTATAACTTTTTGACTGTGTCGTTGGAAATGCTTTTGCATGAAATACTTGGTTTAAATCGTCCCCATATACATTGCGCTGTAGCTGACGATGACATGAAAATTTACCCGACTAAAAGAAATTCAAACTTGTAGTAGGGTTTGGCAGCGAATTTCGAACATTTTATCATTATGGTCTAAGCACTCAGGATAACATTAAAGCAACTGCTTTAAATTTCTTGGTCACACTCGTCGCCGTATTAATCAACAATTTTTCACGTCCTCACTCATTGCACTCATTAAACCTGTAGCTCAATAATATTAATGATTTTAAAAATGGCATAATCGGCCATTATTGTTTTAATATGGATATGAAAGCTAATAATTTGTTCATTGATTAACATTTTAATGATAATAAGCTATAGTAATTATCCTATCACTAGTTCAAGTCTGAGTCCGGACATGGTTACAACTTTAGATTGTTTGTTTCTCATCATATTTGGGCCAGAACCGTGTGCACCTAACCATATATTTTGAGTTTATGTTGATTATTGAAATACTCTTATATGTAGCCAGATGTTTTTCAACTTTTGATAATAAAATGATCGCTTTTATTTCACAGAAAGGCAATACAAGCTCGCTATCAATTACTTCCATACTGGTATACATTGTTTGCTCGTTCGGAAGCAGACGGTCAACCAGTTATGGCACCAATGTGGTTTCATTTTCCTAAAGATGTGAATACGTATAGTTTGGATGATCAATATATGATTGGAGAAGCTGTGCTTGTGAGTCCTGTCACTGATCAAGGTGCTGGCTATGTGCAGTTATATTTTCCAAAGGGAACATGGTATCATTATCCATCGCTTGAGGTAAATGATCATTTGTATGGGGTTTTAAATAGTTTTGCTTCACAGCTAATGTGTAATATGAAAATAAGGGTAAATCCTACATAAAAATCTAGACCTTTTATTTATAACTCTATGAAAAGAAGAGATAAAGTTATGGTAAAATGTTAAAGGAACAGTTTGTCTTTAAGTATACCGGTAATCAAAATATTCATTGAGTAATGTACAAACTCATTGAAAAAATAGAACGACTTTATTTATTGAGTTCAACAGACAATTACGTGAATGTCTTCTTTTCTATAATACTATTAGTTATCAAGAGCTACCTTAAGCTACCAAAAAACTATACTATTTAAGAATCGCCTATTCAGTTTGCTTAGTATTATTCAAACGCGTGTTAGTTTAATTCGGTTATTTATTTACGCAGAAGAAGTGGCTTGCATTAAGTCACGAGACGTCAGAAATACGATTTAGGATATAACAAAAATATATTTATTAATAACCTACCCGATGTGAGTACTGAAGCAGTTTTTCTGAAACCACGTGCACCATTCAAACTGGCTGCCTTCAACGTTCGCACACTTATGCAGGTTGGACAACAGATAGGGCTGGCTATGTCTTTAGGAAGTCTTAATATCGATGTTTGCTGTCTATCCGAGACCCGTATTCAAGACTCGGGTGAAGTACTACAAATTTGCTCTCCATCTGTCGCTTCGAAAAGCTTGTTTTACGTGCGTTTATCCGGGGACCCTGTGGCATTTTCATCTCGTCTTGCTGGCGTTGGTGTCGCACTAAACACTAGAGCTGAGGCAGCACTAATCGATTGGATCCCCATCAACAGTCGGTCATGTGTTGTTAGATTAGAAAGTTCCATCAAAGTAAGAAGAAATCGGCGTGAGAAACGATGTCTTTTCGTCATCTCCGCCTATGCTCCGACAGATTGCAGCCCGGATGCGATCAAGGATGAATTCTGCCACCAGTTAACTGTTCTTCTCCAGGAAGTGCGTTCGACAGATATTGTAGTACTAGCCGGAGACTTGAATGCTCAGGTCGGGCGTCTAGGCACAGAAGAGAGTCGTTGAGGTGACCGATGGGGACTCGTTGGTCGCAGGTCAGATAACCGGGACCGTCTACTGCAACTGTTTATTTATTTATTATTTATTTGGACACATGAATATTGGTACAGGGGAGCGCCAATATATATGCGCCACACAAAACAATGAAAATTCGAGAGGAATACAAAGCGCAACAAAAAAAGAAAGGACAATAACGAAGAGATTGGTGTAGGGTAATGTGCTAGTAATCAGGGAACGCAAAGGTACAATCGGAAGAAATCTTTCAGGTAAGGGAGACAGAACCACTTTTTATGAAGAAAGTAAAAGGTTACAGCAGGATCGCCACTGGCTTCTATTCTGAGCCATATCTGATAACGTCTCTAGCCACTGTGTAGCACCATCTCTCGGACCCCAACCAGGGAGTCGTGAAGAACCAACACACGCCAGTCCTTTGCAGCTTTCTTTCATGCCACGACACCATGTCATGCACCGACCACCTCTCCGCTTCCTCCAACCAGTCCCAGAGTCGGCAAATAATGCACGACGTGGAATTCTCTGGGACGACATTCGTAGAACATGTCCAAGCCACCGAAGTCGGTGTTTCAAGATGGTGACACCAATTGAATTATCATCTCTGTGCCCGAACACACGATGCCGAACCTCTGCATTACTGACATGGTGTTGCCACTGAATGTCAGCAATCCTTCGGAGACAGCGATGATCGAACACAGAGAGTCGTCTAACGTCCTCAACTCGGAGAGGCCAGGTTTCACAAGCATAGAGCAAAACTGCTCTCACCGACGCGTTGTAGATCCGACCTTTTACAGCCAGACTAACATCACGAAGGCGCCATAGATGGCCCAGATTGGCATAAGCCGCTCTGGCTTTCACTATTCGTGCATTGATCTCATCACTCACACCCCCACCAGCACTTATGCAGCTACCCAGATACACGAACTTCTCGACTACGTCTATCTGCTCACCGTCCAGGGTGAGTACAGGATTAGAATCCTGCCAGTCTTGTAGAAGTACTTTGCACTTCGAAGGTGCAAAGCACATACCATACCTACGGACACTGATTGCCAACTGTGCAACTGTGCACAGACCACAACCTGTTTCTGGCTAGCACTAACTTTCAGCACAGTCATCGCCGATGTGCCACCTGGCGTCCTCCCTCTGCATTCCAAGCCTGGACTCAGATTGATCACATCGCGATCAGCTAACGCTGGCGTGGTTGTGTACAAGACTGCCGCTCTTTTTGGAGTACCTATCTGGACTCTGACCATGCTTTGGTCTGCGCCCATCTTACCTTACTTTTCAGTGACCAACGAAGTGATCGTCACCAAAGGATTGATGTTAGCAAGTTGGTTGTAACTTCTGTTGCAAGTAAGTATCGAACCGAGCTAGCTTCTAGGCTAGCTACCATTCCACCGAAAAGTATAGATGAGCATTGGTTGCAATTGCATGACGCCATGAAAATGGCGGGTACAGTCAGTTGTGGGTACGCGAAACAGCCCGCTTATAAGCACTGGGTTTCTTCAGACTGCTTACAACTCAACGAAGCCAGTCGGTCTACTCCGGGTGACCATGAGTTTGACCACAAACGAAGGATATTACGTAATGAAATCGGGAAAAGCCTGCGTTAGGACCGAGAAGCCTGGTGGTCGGAGCGTGCTAATGAGCTGGAAGCAGCAGCTGCATCTGGTAACTACCGGAAGCTCTTCCAACTCATCCGAGCCACCGACAGCAAGAAGTCTAGTGTGAGCGAAACAATCTACGAGGATGATGGGATGCCAATCACTGACATCCATTGACGCCTTGGACGATGGGCAAAGTTTTTCTAAGGGCAGTTCAACTGTCCTGCTGCTCCGACAACATCGGTCGGATTGTCCTGCCCTCCATGGCCGGTGACGACTTATCCACCAAATGAGGCGGAATTCCGCAAGGAACTCCAGCTCTTGAAGCGTTACAAATCACCTGTCCCAGATGACTTACCTCCGGCTCTTTTTAAAGATAGTGATGACTTTCCGACTAACGAACTGACGACGTTGTTTACAAAGGTTTGGGAACTAGAGAGTGTACCAACGTCATGGAATGAGTCGATAGTTGTCCCTGTCTTTAAAAAGGGTTCACGTCGTTCCTGTAACAACTATCGGGGGATAAGTCTACTTCCGATTGCGTCCAAGCTATTGGCTTCCGTCATACTTCGTAGGTTGTTCAAAACCCGAGAAAGATTGACTGGCCAGGAGCAGGCTGGGTTTCGTTCTGGTCGAGGATGTATTGATTATATCTTCACCCTCCACCAAATGTTAGAACACCGCCATACTTATCACAGGCCAACAATCGTAGTGTTTCTTGACATCAGGGCTGCCTTTGAATCGTTAGACAGGACTGTTCTCTGAGATTGTCTATTGAAGAAGGGTGTGCCTGAGAAGTTTATTAACATCCTAAAAGCCCTATATACAAACACCTCAGGCAGAGTGAGGGCATACAACCACCTCTCTCCATTGTTCCATTCGAGCAGTGGGGTTAAGCAGGGTTGCACAATCTCACCATTCCTCTTCAACTTTGCCATCGATGACATTCTGGAAACAGCTCTGGTGAATATCAGTGTTATGACTTTAAGTTGGGTTGATTTTTACCCTGTGCTAATTGTTGTGTCCCTGACTGGAAAAATTAGAGAGCAGCGTATTTATCGGTCGATTCAATGACATGTAATCACGCACGGACGGCCTAGAGTCTCGATTGGTCCCGCTTCCCTGTCTAACCCAGTCAGTCGAGTCCAGAACACAAGTCACAACCTCTGAGATATGAATCATTGTATTTCAGACATATTCCATTTATATACTAACCAAACATACCACATCGTAACATAAAAATAGAAAACAACATTTGTACAATATTTAACGGATGAAATAAATAATGGCCAATAGGAAATGTCCATTTAACGTCCAAGGACATCACTAGGCTTAACATGATAATGATTGGCACATTACTCTGCATCCTTAACAGTAAGTAATGACGGTGTGGATCTGTTGCCTGGAGAAAGACTTCTCGACCTTGAGTATGCGGATGATATTGTCTTACTGTGTGATAATGCCCAAGGCATGCAATACGCACTTAATCAGTTGGCAATCAATGTCCGTAGGTATGGTATGTGCTTTGCACCTTCGAAGTGCAAAGTACTTCTACAAGACTGGCAGGATTCTAATCCTGTACTCACCCTGGACGGTGAGCAGATAGACGTAATCGAGAAGTTCGTGTATCTGGGTAGCTGCATAAGTGCTGGTGGGGGTGTGAGTGATGAGATCAATGCACGAATAGTGAAAGCCAGAGCGGCTTATGCCAATCTGGGCCATCTATGGCGCCTTCGTGATGTTAGTCTGGCTGTAAAAGGTCGGATCTACAACGCGTCGGTGAGAGCAGTTTTGCTCTATGCTTGTGAAACCTGGCCTCTCCGAGTTGAGGACGTTAGACGACTCTCTGTGTTCGATCATCGCTGTCTCCGAAGGATTGCTGACATTCAGTGGCAACACCATGTCAGTAATGCAGAGGTTCGGCATCGTGTGTTCGGGCACAGAGATGATAATTCAATTGGTGTCACCATCTTGAAACACCGACTTCGGTGGCTTGGACATGTTCTACGAATGTCGTCCCAGAGAATTCCACGTCGTGCATTATTTGCCGACTCTGGGACTGGTTGGAGGAAGCGGAGAGGTGGTCGGTGCATGACATGGTGTCGTGGCATGAAAGAAAGCTGCAAAGGACTGGCGTGTGTTGGTTCTTCACGACTCCCTGGTTGGGGTCCGAGAGATGGTGCTACACAGTGGCTAGAGACGTTATCAGATATGGTTCAGAATAAAAGCCAGTGGCGATCCTGCTGTAACCTTTTACTTTCTTCATAAAAAAGTGGTTGTGTCTTCCTTAACTGAAAGATTTTTTCTGATTGTATTTTTCCGTTCCCCCATTTTTACCATTATTATTATTACACCACCTTAGATCAATCTCTGTTATTATTCTCTCTTTTTTTCCTTCCCCTTTAATTCTCATTGTTTTGTGTGGCGCATTCTTGTACCAATATTTATGTGTTCAAATAAATAAATTCTACTCGATGCTCAATTTATATGAAACTATCAAGTTAAACCTTGTCAGTGGTATCTATATAATTATCAGTTATGGTTTTTAATGCCTCCAGAAACCATTATATGGATATGTTTTGATGTTTTGAAATAAAATATCATGTGTCTATAACTGTTATTTAACATAATAATGTCATTAAAGCTTACATTTTACTAATTGTTAAATCAATGAATTATGTTTGTTGTCCTATCATAAACTGTTCTGGTCGATTCGATAAAGTCCTGTATTTGTTATTCGTGCGAAGTTAAATTTATCAATAGAAAAAGTCATATGAAATTCCTATATTTAATTGTAGGTATTTGCAGGTGGACAGTCGACACAATATCCAGTAACGATAAATTCCATACCTGTGTTTTATCGAGGTGGGTGGATTATACCACGAAAAGAGCGTATACGTCGTTCTTCATGGCTTATGCGTAGTGATCCCTATACATTTGTTGTTTGTTTGGACCCTCAGAAGCCTGATGCCGTTGGTTATATATACATAGATGATTTCCATTCAACTTCTAAATCAAATGCCCAGTTTTTCAAAATTATTTACCAACGAGTTGTCGACCCAACGGGTGCAGGTGTGCATGGTGGACGATTGCGCTTACAACGTTTACCATTACCAGGTGAAACTTCCATAGTACTACCTAAAGATGATGTTTCTATACCGAAAATTGAACGCTTTGTTATTGTTGGGTTCAGTAGTCCCTTGGAAAGAATTACTGTGATCGATGCCCATAAACCACGAAGAAATATAGGGTTTTCCATTACTCCGTCCTCTGCTGGTTTTAAACACGTACCACGCATTGTCGTTGTTCGTAAACCTGATCTTTCATTAAATGATGAATGGGAAGTGCATTTTGTCACAGGAAAAGAATCCAGGGATGATTTGTAAATGATAGTTGATATCAATCCTATTTCTTCAACATAGTACTCTCATGTGTATATGATTTGGCTCCAAGTTATCTTGTTTTCTAAAACACTTGCTTAGTTTTAATTTTTACATCACTTTTCTCCATCTCTTCAAATGTGACGTGTACTCTTACCTGTCTGTTTGTTTTCTTTTCACTTGTCGTCTCGTTTTTTCCTGTTTTTAGCGCATCTTTCTCAGTTCCCTTTTTCTATTTTGTCATTGTGTCTGTGTTTGAATGTAAACAAAGAATTTTCTCATTGCTTTTATGTATGTTTTTATTTTAAAAAGTGAATTTGTTTAGTTAAGATAGAAACCTTTTTGAATTTATAATGGGATCGTCAAAAGATTTAGGTGCATATTTATATAAATTGTTCAACCATTTACCTCCAGACATTACTCATTTGTCTCAACTCTGTGATTGGAATTGTTAAGTAACACTGAGTAGTATAATCACTAGAATATAATGGCCTGGTAAACCTTATATTAGCACTGAGTTTGAAAGAACGCCTAACCGAACTTATCTTAAATATAGGCTTATTTCCAATATGAAAATTCGTGTATTTAATGTCATATGCTTAGATCAAATCATCTGGTGTAACACCACAACCACATAAACCAAAAAGTGAAGCACTACAAAGGTACATCTGTGAGTGCCTCCACATGCCCTAATACGGCCGACAGTAGGGAGAGTCCACTCTGCCGCTCGAAATGCTCTCACATGGCCTTGCGTATATAGCCTCTGTCAGGGAAGTCCTACTCATTGCCTTCTCGTGGCGAGGGTGTTGGACATGAAGAGTCCACCTAGGGGAGTTGGAAAACCCTGATTCCAAACCAATGATGCACATGGGCTACAGTGTCCTGAGGGAACAAATAGCGTATGAACTAATCGTCGGTCACCTGCTACCATGGGACTGCATCTCTTTACGATGCCCCATTGCCTTGTGGATCAGACCTTTAGGTCGAAGGCTCGGGGTGTGGCCCCCTAGGAAAACCACCTGCTTCGGTTTGGGCACCCGGACAGTATCACAGCTCTCACACAAATCAAATGGGATTTGTGTGGTGCATATGTATTTGGTGCCTCCTTGTACCAATATCTATGTGTTCAAATAAAATAATACATCTATGAGTTATACATACTATGAGGCTTAAATCAAAAATGGTCTTTAAGCTAGTGGGAAAATCATCACCTATTCGTCTAAATACTGATACAATTAGTGCTAATAACATTACTTATTATACACTAAAGCGTAATTGATTGGTTACAGATGAAAAACAACTAGGATTTCGAATGAACCTGTCACTTATTGGCAAAACTATTTCATAGAACCCCGGTATTACTCACTTCAGTGATTGATTGATCATATGAACTTGTCAGAAATATTCCACAGGAAGTAAGTTTTATAAATCCCTACCATTGTTCATTTGTGTAGTACCACTTTTTACAAACACTGATGTTGATCTAAAGACAACCACAAATCATCTGTACTTCGAAATTAACTAGATATGAAGTTCAAAACACACATGCTTTTGATCATATTCCAGTATGGGCAGGGTTATTCACGGTTCAATTATTTTCACTCCATATAGCATTTAGATGACAGGTTATCCACAGAGGCACCCCTATTGAAAGACGATTCCCTTCTTCAAGATATCATGATTATATTAGATTAAGGCACTCAAAAGTAACGTACTTTTATAGCGTCAGTGATAGCCTTTTTCTACCACGACATTTTTAAAAATAGGCTCTGCCTACGAATGTCACTGCTGGTGTGTGTTAAAATTGGCAATATGGACATAGTAAAGATAAGTGGCATCACAATGCATTGGGTTTAATGCTGAGTAATATAGGAGATTACGAATACGAAACCCGGTTTTCGTTTATCATTATGTATTCGATCGTTTTCCTTTCTGTTATTTTTCCACCTACTAGTCTGTTCAAGTGTAGAATCATATTGATAATATTATGTTGACTTTGACCTAGGAGAAATCAGTTAAAGGTGATAATTTCAAATAAAAAACTATTCCGGTCTTAAGGAAAATTAGTGATGAGATTATTGTGTTTTTAGTATTGACTTAAGATTTTCAGTTCCAATTACCAGATAAAGTCCTAGAGATGTTTTTACTAATTTACTGTAGTCGTAGTTTGTTATAGATAAGATAACGTTTTTCGTCTTTGTCATTGAAAACAAAACGAGAATTAATTAATTACTATTTTGTTCAGTAGTTTTTTTATATACCCTTCACTTCTCTGAATGTCTGTTGTGTTGAAAAAGACCCAACAGTTTTCTTAGAAATAAATATTTTGAATACAATCATATTGTTTGGGGACTCAGTCAGCTAGACCTGAAATTACCGTTACATTGATTGATCTTCGTTACGTGATTAATCACCTAATTCTTATTTCATAAGAACTGTTCTATTGAAATTTCTTTTATCAGCCTACCACCTACTTCAGCTTACTCAGTCCAGATTGTCTGTCCGTTCGTAGAGATCATTTGTTTAAATTTCGTAGCTTTCCAAGCGAAAAGCCAGAAATCATTCCTGTTTTTACCTAGTTCCCAAAGAACATATCGTACAATTGTAGTTAATCTGTTCCTGAAAACATTTCTACAGCTTTAGTTAACTAATACTCATTGTAACAAACGTATTCAAGAGGATGTGGTTTCGACATCAACGAAATGGATATTTCATCTTGCTTATTACACATGAATATCATAGCTATGAAGAAATGAAGGACAGAAACATTTAAAGATGAATACAATTAATCAAAATAAAAAGGTGACCGCATTTGTTCTATATTCTGCGGAGATCGTGCTACATTGAATGTATATTGACCTTTATTTGTAGTGTTTCAAGGAAAAAATCTGATGAGCACATAAGAGTCCGAGATAGATTGTAAGAACGGACATCTAAATATAACTAGGCTACGGTTTTGCCATATCCTAAACAAAGAAAACAGTTAAACTCCATTATTTTTCAGATCATTTGTAAGGGGTTAAAACAAGAAAACATTGAATTGAGTCACAAATAAAATAGCGCAAAATATTAGTGTAATTTACAATGCTGCAGAGACATATTAGATACAAGCGCTGTGAGGCAGTGGCATTAAAATTCCAAATAGGTGAATTCACCAACACAATATTTTTCCGTCCTCTGTTTATCAGTCATTTGAATATTATTGAAAATCTATAATCAGTTGGAAAGTTGCAAAGTACTACTGTTTAGTGTGTCAATATAGACTATAAATTTTTGTAAGAACGTTTACCAGATTTATTACGGATCCTTAATATTGTCAAATTGGGAAAATATTTGGGTGGACAATTGTGTCAATGGATTAACTTTTAGATCCTAAAGTGTAAGGCATACGTGTCAGTCTTATTTATTTGATTCAGCTCCACATATCGAGAATAGGGAATGCTTACTCCTGACTTTCAGTTTATATATTTACTTTAACCTTTTCTTGTAAGGTATTCACATTTGTGCATTTATGTTCCTTAACTTTTTTTACATTACAAATATTGTTTCCACATTAACCATAAGAATTATCGACATTGTATTATATCCACTTAGTTATGTCGCACTGCTGTACCAATATATATGTGTTCACATAAATAAATACTTAGTTATGGTACATTAGTTGATTATTAGTCACACGTAATCTTACGACCTTTGTCCTGGTTTTTATTACATAGCCTTTGAACTGTACTCATAATAAATCCTCCAAGTTGTTGTAAAACCCATCGTCCTTAATCTAGAACAACGGTTTACCAGTTAAAATCTATTTTTAGTTTAAGTTAGCTACTTTTATGCAGTATTTAGAAATTAATGACTTGAGCGTACGAAACTACTGGTGGCTCTTTTAAATCCTAATTTAAATGACTCTCTCAACTGTTCTATTATTGATTAAATAAAATGAAATCCATTGTAGTTTGATTAGCTATTTAATTGATTCACTTAAGCTACTGAAATTCATTCTATCAACAGAAGTGCTACTATATTGAGCTAAACTGTTTATCAGAGTAAGTTTCAGGATGCAACTAACTTTATTATTTGTACACACTTTAATTAAATTGTGTTTGCGACATTTTGACTGTATTTGAGAATTCTTATTATAATTCACAACAATAGTAGAGTATGGTGCTTTGAAAGGTTTGTCAGATGTTCACATTCTCCTTAACCTTAAATAAATGAATAAATAAAATGCCACGCCCATGTTACATTTTTGTCTGAGACTTGAATCGCTTATGTTTATTGGTATGGTTTAAAATGACGTAGTCCTAACATCTCATTGTCTGATTAGATCTTAGTTAGATCGCCAAAATCTATCACTTATATTTGTCTTTCTGTTAAGATAGCTTGTGACACTAATAACTAACCTGACAGAATAAGAATAATTTACATTATAAAGAAATTGATTAATGCGACTGTGTCAACACTGTAGGGCCAGTGAAATGTCACTAAGCCCTAGCCAGATCATCCGGCAGTTGGGTCATTGAATATCGAACCGATCATCGATCCCTGTCAAGGTCAAGGACGACCAGTGAGCAACAGTTAATCGTTCGCCATGAACTTTAACTAATTTATTTCTGTGATAACATAATTTGTGTTGTACAGTCTTCAAAGCATCTTTAGTACCTCGATACGTCGATGGAGCAATTCACGTAAAATACTGACCGTGAGATGTGACTCTGACGTCAGCTGGTTCGTTACACCATTCCCGTCTTACTTTAGTAGGCCCTCAATCATTCGACATAGAGCATATACGCTGGTGATTTACAACACTATTCAAGATTTATGTAATGAGTTAGTAGCAGTCCATGAACCTAGAGAATGAGTTACACACTTACTAACTTTCATCCTAGCTATTTGTTGGGTATTTAGAATACATTAAGTAACTAACCCTTCTTAGGAATATGCTGAATAAAAAAGTAAGCTATAAAAACAAGTTAATGAGAACATGTGATTTAGTTGAATGGAATCACAAGTGCTTTGCATAAAAATTAATAGCCCTTAAGTCCGTGTAGCGGTAAATAAATCCCCAAAATAAATAACCCTTCAGGTCTTCGACGTTTGATACCAACCTAATTGGTTTTATTGAACCCACCTAGCCAGAGGTGCGCGGTCACGCACCCGCATCAGATCGTGGAGAGGGTATATGCCGTGTAACGCTTCCATTTCAACTGCTAGCCAGCTTAGACAAAATGTTCCCCCAACACACCAATAGCCTTCCGAATATATCTTCGGACTCCTTCATTCCTGATTTACTGGGTTGGCATACTTCGACTATAAGAGTGCTACTAGTT